GGATTATCTTTACTATCATTATTCTCAATTCTTTTTCAGGTAGACTGCCTATTTCCTCTTCATTTGTTAGGTCTGGTGGGTTTTTGCCTTGCTCCTTCATCTGCTGTGTGTTTCTCTGTTTTCTCACTTTGCTTAACTGTGTTTGGGGTGTCCTTTTCGCAGGCTGCAGGTTCATACTTCCCACTGTTTTTGGTGTCTGCCCCCAGTGGCTAAGGTTGGTTCAGTGAGTTGTGTAGGCTTCCTGGTGGAGGGGACTGGTGCCTGTGTTCTGGTGGATGAGGCTGGATCTTGTCTTTCTGGTAGGCAAGACTGCATCCGGTCATGTGTTTTGGGGTGTCTGTGACCTTATTATGATTTTAGGCAGCCTCTCTGCTAATGGGTGGTGTTGTGTTCCTGTCTTGCTAGTGGTTTGGCATAGGGTGTGCAGCACTGTGGCTTGCTGGTCATTGAGTGGATCTGGGTCTTAGTGTTGAGATGGAGAGCTCTGGGAGAGCTTTTGCCATTTGATATTGCGTGGAGCTGGGAGGTCTATGGTGGACCAATGTCCTGTACTCGGCTTTCCCATGTCAGAGGCACAGGCCTCACACCCGGCTGGAGCACCGAGACCCAGTCAGCCACATGGGTCAGAAGAAAAGGGAGAAAAAAAGGAAGAAAGAAAGAAACAAATAAAATAAAATAAAGTTATTTAAAAAATAAAAGTTATCCAAATTAAAATTTTTTAAAATTATTAGAATAAAAAAATTTTTAAGTAATTTTAAAAAAAGAAAAAAGAGAGCAACCAAAGCAGAAAACAAATCCACCAATGATAACAAGTGCTAAAAACTATACTAAAGAAAAAAACAAAAAATGGGCAGACAGAACTCTAGGACAAATGGTAAACGCAAAGCTATACAGACAAAATCACACAAAGAAGCATACACATGCACACTCACAAAAAGAGAAAAAGGAAAAAAGTATATATATCTATATAAAAAGGAAGAGAGCAACCAATTCAATAAACAAATCTACCAATGATGATAAACTCTAAATACTAAACTAAGATAAACATAAAACCAGAAACAAGTTAGATGCAGAAAGCAGACCCCAAGTCTACAGTAGCTCCCAATATCCACCTCCTCAACTTGGGATGATTCGTTGTCTATTCAGGTCTTCCACAGATGCTGGTACATCAAGTTGATTGTGGAGATTTAATCGCTGCTCCTGAGGCTGCTGGGAGAGATTTCCCTTTCTCTTCTTTGTTCGCACAGCTCCCGGGCTCAGCTTTGGATTTGGCCCCGCCTCTGCGTGTAGGTCGCCGGAGGGCGTCTGTTCTTCGCTCGGATAGGACGGGGTTAAAGGAGCCGCTGATACGGGGGCTCTGGCTCACTCAGGCCGGGGGGTGGGGGTGGGGGGGGCACGTAGTGCGGGGCGGGCCTGCGGCGGCAGAGCCGGTGACGTTGCACCAGCCTGAGGCGTGCCGTGCGTTCTCCCAGGGGAAGTCGTCACTGGATCCCGGGACCCTGGCAGTGGCGGGCTGCACAGGCTCCCCAGAAGGGGGGTGTGGATAGTGACCTGTGCTCGCACACAGGCTTCTTGGTGGCGGCAGCAGCAGCCTTAGCGTCTCCCGCCCGTCTCTGGGGTCTGCGCTTTTAGCCGCGGCTCGCGCCCGTCTCTGGAGCTCCTTTAAGCAGCGCTCTTAATCCCCTCTCCTCGCGCACCAGGAAACAAAGAGGGAAGAAAAAGTCTCTTGCCTCTTCGGCAGGTCCAGACTTTTCCCCGGACTCCCTCCCGGCTAGCCGTGGTGCACTAACCCCCTTCAGGCTGTGTTCACGCCGCCAACCCCAGGCCTCTCCCGGTGGTCCGACCGAAGCCCGAGCCTCAGCTCACAGCCCCGCCCGCCCCAGCGGGTGAGCAGACGAGCCTCTCGGGCTGGTGAGTGCCGGTCGGCACCGATCCTCTGTGCGGGAATCTCCCCGCTTTGCCTTCCGCACCCCTGTGGCTGCGCTCTCCTCCGCGGCCCCGAAGCTTCCCCCCACCACCCCCATCTCCACCAGTGAAGGGGCTCCTAGTGTGTGGAAACCTTTCCTCCTTCACAGCTCCCTCCCACTGGTGCAGGTCCCGTCCCTATTCTTTTGTCTCTGTTTTCTCTTGTTTTTCTTTAGCCCTACCCAGGTACGTGGGGAGTTTCTTGCCTTTTGGGAGGTCTGAGGGCTTCTGCCAGCCTTCAGTAGGTGTTCTGTAGGAGCTGTTGCACGTGTACATGTATTTCTGATGTATTTGTGGGGAGGAAGGTGATCTCCACGTCTTACTCTTCTGCCATCTTGAAGCATACCTCGAAACTCTAATTTTAAATTGAATCATAGTCTAGTTAATCTTTTATAATTAATTACTCCATGTACAGCCACTGATCATTTCAGCATCCTTAGTCCCAAATCTGAGGTAACTGACGTTTGGCGAAGTCGTTATCTGCTTTTGATTCCATCTGTGCTGTCTTAACTGCTCTTTGAAATTACAGGGTCCAGGTGTTGTGCAGGTTAGACTTTTTTTTTTTTTTTTTGCGATACGCGGACCTCTCACTGCTGTGGCCTCTCCCGTTGCGGAGCATAGGCTCCGGACGCGCAGGCTCAGCGGCCATGGCTCACGGGCCCAGCCGCTCTGCGGCATGTGGGATCTTCCCGGACCGGGGCACGAACCCGTGTCTCCTGCATCGGCAGGCGGACTCTCTGCCACTGCGCCACCAGGAGAGCCCTAGACTTTTTTTTTCGTCTCTTTGTTAGTCTTATTTATATAAATGGGTTAATACTGTTTTAGTTGTGATTCATCTAATTTTTTAGAAAGCAGCTAATATTTGGATAGTCTTAGGTTTAGGTCAGAGTTTACAGAGATGCAGAGAGTTCAGACACACCGTTCCCGTTTCCCCCGTTGCCGACATCTTACTACAGCTGGGTCTGCTCCAGGAACCAACAGTGGTACGTTACCAGTAACCTGCATTCTGTACTCAAATTTCATCAGTTTCCCGCAATGCTCTTCTCTGTTCCAGGATCCTGTCTAGGTTCCTAGATTACATTTAGGTGTCATGTCTCTGTAACCTCCTCTGGTCTGTGACAGTTTGTCAAGCTTCCCTCCCCTTGTGCTGCCCACTGACCAGGAACCCTGGAGGGCTTCACGGGAGAGGTCACATCCAGGATCTTTGCTTTACAGCATCCTTTTGATGGCAAACTGATCACTCACTTCTCTGAGAGTGAAAAGGACCCCAACCCTTTGCTTGTCCCAGTCAGCACCACCACCCGTGATAAAGGGAGATGTCACCAGTGTTGATGTCAATCTTCTCTCTTCTGCTGCTAAGAAACGGATGCCTCTTCTGTGAAGCCTGGTCCCCAGTGCAGTTTGTAACTGTCGCTGGTCCCCCGTGTGGCCCCTTCCACTACAGCGTGAAGCTGGGACCCGGCCATGTCCTCATACCCCTGGTAGGGCTCACCGATGGGTGGAAGACTGTGTGGTATGAGGGATCAGAGCAAGGACCCTGTAGAGGCACAATGCCCCCACTCTGGACAGGCCCTGTAAGTCCTCAGCTGCTCTGGGGTTGGCCCCATCAGCTGCTGTGAGGTCAGGACCAGAGGGTCTCTGGAGGCCACAGGGGAGACGAGGTTGCCCAGCCATCTGGGAGGAAAGCGGGAAGAGGGGATAATATATGAGGACTGAGCCTTTTGCCGAAGGGAATGAGCAGGTCCCTGAGGGTAATGCTTCAATAATCCCATCAGACTGGATTGACTGAATCCTGGGAAATTCCGTCCCCACCGCCTCCCTGCAGTGCCCGGGGCTCCTGGGGACAGGCAGCTCAGGGATGGAGAGGGGCAGAGGAAGGGGTGTTGGGGGGGCACTGCACGGGCCGTACATGCCCCAGTCAGGTTCATCGTGGGCTGCAGCTGCTGGGGCAGAACCCCAGAGCATCCTCTGTTTCATGTCCCCAGCACTTCTGTAAGTATCGGAGGATAGATGGGCTTCTGCATTTCCTAGTTATAAATTTCATCTTGAGTCATCACTCCTGCAAAAGGGACTCACTACGGGTTTCCAGATAATCACAGAACAATGTGACAGATGGAGCTGCAGACCTACTTTATGGGACACGAGGACGCTTTGCCTAATGAGGGAGATGAAACATTTATGACCCTCATGTTTCACTTCCAACCCAAAGCCTAGGATATTTCATAAATATTATTTTATATCAAAGCTTGCAGAATCACTATCCCAGGAGCATTTGCTCAGTCAGATATTTCCTCTCTGGAAAGGCACTTGTGAGATCAGAGCCATGTGTGTAGCTACACAGGACACACACGTGCAGTGGGGAGGCCGACTCCCAGCCTGGGCTGTTCAGCTGAGAGCTGCCCCGGGAAGGAAACACCAGGCTCTGCTCTGTTTCATCAGCACCAGTGCTGCGGGGAAGGGCTGAAGTCTGCAATGGAATTTAAACAGCTATGCGAGCTTTGGAGAGGTCCAATCCTCCCTGCGCTCTGGGGCACACAGATGCAATTTTCAGCACCTCGGAAGGGAGAAAAATGGGGGATCATGGCATAGGATGTGAGCGCTGGGGTTTGCCGGGAGGGGGTGTGCTCACGCCAATGTCACCAATGAGGAAGCAGAGTCAGGGAGGTGCCGGGGATTTGGACCGAGGTCCCAGGGCTGCTCTGTGGGAACCAGGGCTCAGAGCAACCTCTGGGCAAAACCAGAACAAACCCCCGACACTTCATCTGTGTAACTTTACCAGGAACTGTACTGCTTAGCATCTCCTTTAGTCTTCACTACAACCCTATAGATGATGTATAGCAAGAAGTCTTGTTCTCATCTGATGTAAGGATCAGAAGCTCAGAGGGACCAGTTTCCCAGCTTACAGCTGGGCTAAGCCTCCTTCTGGCTCCACTGTGTGGTGCCCATTTCCCAAGAGTGGGTGAAGCTGGCCGAGGGCAGCTGCTTCTGACGTTTCCCACTGGCTCTCTAAAGGGGGCTGTTCTCTCCTCCTTCAGGTCATGGCAGTGCCGGGGGACAGGCCTGGTGGACAGAAAGGCCGAGAGCATCTCAACCACACTCGGACAACCTGACACCGCCACGCCGACTTCCTGGACGTTGTTTGTTACCCCCACCCGCCAAGCCCCAGTTTCCTCCTTTGTCCAACGAGGATGCGTGTAAATCAGTAAACGCACACGCGGGCCCACATGCACACCCACCCTGTTTGCTGGCGAACAACAATGACACTTGCAAGACTTTTCTCAGGCTGAACACGCAACAAGCCTCAGTCACCGCATCCTTGCAGGGGCCCTGAAGTAGGGTGACCGTGATCCCCAGTTTGTGAAGGAGGAGGCTGGGGCACGGGGTCCCCACCTGGGGTCAGCAGAGCTTTTGCCCCCCAGTCCTGCCTCAGGGTGCCCGGCAGGTGGGGACCGTGCAGGGATGGTGGGACCCACTGTGTCCGTAGCCCTGACCACCTACGTGGAACCAGGAGATTCTTTTTTTTTTTTTCACATTTTATTTTTTTTTAACATCTTTATTGGAGTATAATTGCTTTACAATGGTGTGTTAGCTTCTGCTTCATAACAAAGTGAATCAGCTATACATATACATATATCCCCATATCTCCTCCCTCTTGCGTCTCCCTCCCACCCTCCCTATCCCACCCCTCTAGGTGGTCACAAAGCACCAAGCTGATCTCCCTGTGCTATGCGGCTGCTTCCCACTAGCTATCTATTTTACATTTGGTAGTGTATATATGTCCATGCCATGCTCTCACTTCGTCCCAGCTTACCCTTCCCCCTCCCGGTGTCCTCAAGTCCATTCTCTACAGCTGCGTCTTTATTCCTGTCCTGCCCCTGGGTTCTTCAGTACCATTTTTTTTTTTTAGATTGCAGGCGATTCTTTGAGTGTAACGTCCAACTGTTGCAAAAAGTAAGAAAAATCATTCCAATCGTTCTTGTCTCCTTTTTGAAAGTGTGCTTAGAGTCCATTTCTCATGTCCGGGTCAGAAGGATTCTGAGCAGGCACATGAATGAGCGGACTTCTGAGTGATGCCACGTCCTCAAAGGATCACGTCAGTGAAGCAGCCGAGCCCGGCGTTCAGGCTGTGATCTTGGCCTTGAATCAGGCAGCCAGTTAGCTGCAGCAGATCCTTCTTAATTGTCCAAACTGTAACTGGGAAGCCTTGGCCAACCACTCGATATAGGAACACCTGGCATCTGACACCAAAGTCACGTGTCCTTCCCTTGGAACACATCTGGAACCCCGGTACACACACCCTCACTCCTCCAGAAAGTGGACCCGCCACTTAACAACACTTTGCTATTATAAAATACCTCTACCATTTTTCAGATTCAAAAGCCAAACACACAGCCATCTCTGTGCAGAGCGCAGACCTTGTTCTCGCCACCTGGTCCTCGGACGCCCCATCCCCGAGGGCACGCAGAGCCGGCGGCTGGGCTGGCCTCCGCCGGAAGCCCCAGGGTCCGAGGGGCCTTTCTGCACTGGGGGTGCTGGCGGGATCAGTTCCCGGTTGTCCCCAGGACGGGCTGCCTGTCTGGAGAGGACCGCCTACCTGGGGCCTGAGGTGCACGCCTGGCTGACCCCACGTCCCTCCCACCGCCACCGTGACACGGATGCCTCGCGGCCCTCTCTCCTTGCTTCTTCCCAGGAACCAGTGAGCATCTTTTGTCATCTTTCTTCCTCCAGAGCTCACTTATTTTTGGTTTCAGTCTTTCCGCGCTCTTCTCTAAAGCGTCAGATATTCCGGATGGACCTGTGGCATTTTGATGCCACTTTGCTCACCCTGGACATCCCCTAATGTGACACCCAGGGCAGATTAAATACACGCTGAACAAACGAATGACCTGTTGCAGGAAGGGGGACCCCTTCCAGGGCCCGAGGGCGGGCTCTTGTCTAACACTCAGAAATGAACTGTCCGAGGAGACACACGTGCTGACAAAACAAAAGGCTTTACTGGGAACGGGGGCCCGGGCGGAGAGCAGGAGAGTAAGGGAACCCAGGAGAACTGCTCTCCGCGTGGTTCACATTCTCGGGGTTTACGGTGACGGGGTTACTTAACGGGTTGTCTCTGGCCATCATCTCCCTCGGCCCATATTTGGTCTGACTCGGTCCTTCCTGGTGGCGCGCGCATCTCTCGGCCAAGATGGAGTTCAGCGCGAGGGTTTCTGGGAGGCTGGCAGGACCAATCGTCTCTTCCCTCCTCCTCGCGGCCCCGCCCGAATTCTCGCGATTAGTTGTCAGCGGCAGCGCTGCGTTCTCTTTGCGGACCTCCTGAGGTGAGACGACTCGCGGAAGTGGTTAGCGTTCTGTGGCCAAGGCGGGCTGTTTCGGTCAGCGGTTCCCTAACAGGACGAAGGAGTGAACTTCATTTTTGGCCACACAGGCCACACCAGCCAGGCCGAATCCCAGGCGACAATGTCGTTCACGAACAGAGAACTGGGACATATTTCACTTGCTGATTTGGGATCGAAATTGAGAAGCAAGACATTGAAGAAGGTTAGAAAACAGTAAGTACCGATTAAGATCTTAATGAGCTTTTTAGTGCTAATAAAAGGTCCTCACCTGGTTCCCTTGTGTAAGGAGGGCTCATTAACGGATATTTGGGGAGATGGAGACGTGAGGCTGGGTCCTGTGGCCTCAGGAGGACAGAGCAGAAGCCTGTCTCTCTCAGTCTGAATGGACCTCAGCTCTCAGGGCAGGACTGCCCAACGCCTTCTGTCTTTCACTTTGCTTCCACTATTTTCTGCTAACTCTGTCTCTGTATTTCACATTCAAACTCCCCAAGAGGAGAATCTGATTAGTCTATTACAGTGGTGAAAATTAAATTAACCCCCAATCCAGAGCAGGGATATTCAAACTAATTAAACCACGCTCTGGGCTTCCCTCGTGGCGCAGTGGTTGAGAATCCGCCTGCCAATGCAGAGGACACGGATTCGAGCCCTGGTCCGGGAAGATCCCACATGCCGCGGAGAAACTAAGCCATACGCCACAACTACTGAGCCTGCGTCCTAGAGCCCGCGAGCCACAACTACTGAAGCCCGCACGCCTAGAGCCCGTGCTCCACAACAAGAGAAGCCACCGCAATGAGAAGCCTGCGCACTGCAACGAAGAGTAGCCCCCCTCGCCGCAACTAGAGAAAACCCGCGTGCAGCATTGAAGACCCAATGCAGCCAAACATAAAAATAAATTAATTAATTTAAAAAATAATAAAATAAGCCACGCTCTAACCTGCTTAAGTGTTCATCATAAACCAGCAGAAAACAGAAGTAGAAGTAAAATCTGTAAACGCGACCCTATGAATCCAGAGGGAACGGCCCTTTCTCTTTCCTCCTTCATCCTCCCACCCCCCTCCACCTCCTCTCTCTCCTGTACATACCCCAAACCACACGTGGTGGCTGTGTCAGTCCTTAGCATGACCCCCTCCCTGGCTGAGCAAACCCAGCCTCCCAGCCGGGGACGTGGGAGGGGAGAGGAAGCCGGGCTGGCAGTGTTGCCCAGCCGGCAGAGGAGGGGCCGGGGTAGCCAATCCCCAGGTGAGACGGAGGACCCTGCAGCCGGGGCACGTATCCTGGTGTGGCGCCCTGACATGGGGCCCGCTCTGTGACAGCCTGTTCAGAGGATGTACATGCAGAAACAAGCCTCTTAAGGCTGGAGGACTCAGCTCCGGTCCCATCACCCAAACCACGCTTGAGTGTGACTGTTTCATTTCGAAGAAGAAGGCCTGACGTTGCTATGATTTGCCCTGGGCGAAGGGTGGTATTTGTCTCTGGTGCCCGTGGTCCACTGACAGCCAGTCCCTCTTTTTCCTTGGGTAATGAAATCTCATTTCCATTCTGGGATTGGCTGACTGAGGGGAGACGGAACCAGCTCCAGAGGATGAATCATGATGGGTCTGGTCTAAGACAATCCTGAGAATCCTATTCCCCTTTGTTAGTGATTGGGTTTGGGCAGCAGTGGAGTGAGGGCGTGCAACCCTGTTCTGGCCAGTGAGATGTAAAGGAAAGTCTTGGAGAATTTGGGGAAATATTTTCCTTTTTGATGAGAACAGATGTACTTGAAGTGAATTTACCCTTTCCTTCCAGCCTTTGTATATTATTGTGGATGATGGGATGTTTGGAACTGTGGCAGCCATCTTGGGACCACGAGGAGGAAAAACAAAGAAACAAAACAAGACAATGCAGACAGGCTGACCTAGAACCCTGATATCATCAAACCACTGGATCAATGTGGAATTTTCTACCTCTATACTTATTATATATAATACTAGGTCACTATTGCTTATGTGCTCTTAGTCAGGTGTCCTGTTACTTGCTATCAAGAGCTGGTTGACTGATACATCAGGCACAACATGACTTGGGACTTTCTTGAGAGGCCCACAGTGGTGATGTAGTCTGGTGAAGCTTGTTGCATACATGGCAGAAAGCAAGAATGACAGGAGAAGACGGAACAGGTTCTTTTATTTAAAAAAATTTTTTTATTGAAGTACAGTTGACATACAGTGTTCTTTTAATTTATGCTGTACAGCAAAGTGATTCAGTTTTACGTATATATACATTCTTTTTTAAAATATTCTTTTCCCATATGGTTTATCATAGGATATTGAATATAGTTCCCTGTGTTATACAGTAGGACCTTGTTGTTTATCCATCCTGTATATAATAGTTTACATTTGCTAATCCCAAACTCCCAATCCTTCCCTCCCTGAAACCCCTCCCCCTTGGCAACCACAACTCTGTTCTCTGTGTCCATAAGTCGAACAGGTTCTTTTTTTTTTGATAACCCCTAGCTGAGAAACAGCACTAGCTCCCAGAAAATGTCAGGATCCTCTGTTGTCCCCACCCCTTCCCAGATGGTATCCCAGTCAAGGGGACCTATTTGTCTCTCTTGGGAGAATTTGGAAAGGAAACGAATGAAGAGACCCCAAAGTCAAGGAATACCCTGTATCTTGCTTCTGGGACATTGGGCTAGGATGAGCTGTGCCTACATGGAAGAGAACCAGCCTGGAGCCATCTTAAAAGGGCCTTCATCCGACAAGGTCCCAGGCAGGAACACTGGGACAATGACAGAGGGTCTGTGTATGTGGGCAGGGGGTGCACTGCTGGAAACCTGGACTCTGTGGGACTGGGGCTGTGGCTGTGGCGGGGAAGATGAGGGCCAGCCTGGGGCATTGCCCACATTAAG